CTGTGAAATTTTTACTTACTCAATTTCAGTATCCTTGACAAATTGCTTAGTGTGTCTACTTCCCAGGGTGGCCCTCTTAATTTCGTCCAGCACATTTAATGACTGTTGAGGAAGACCACCCTCCATGCACCAAGAGCATAAATTATCCAGGAATCAACAGTACCTTGTGATTTTGTGTTTCAGAAGTCTGCTGGATATAAAACAAGCTCCTCAATTCTTACAGCCTGTGATGATGCATAGTTCACAAGAGGAATAGAACAAAACTGATTGTGTACAGCATCATCTAAGTTTAAATAAAATAGAAAATCTGTAACTACTGTGCTCTATGTGACAAGCCAACTACACTGTATCATGGGGCACAGGAATCCAAAGCTTTTAGCTTTGTATCAGCACCTGTCTTTAGATGATACACTACCAAAATGCAAAAAGCACACACACAGCCTAACTTCAAACCTGGCATTGGTTATATTTGGTTTAATGAGCACATTATAATGGCAAGACTGCCATCAAGTCTATTGCAATGCTCTTCCACCTTGCTTGATACCAAAATATGTACAAACTGAACTTTTTTTTTATTATTTTAAACATTTGAAGCCAGTTGACCTTCTCCACAAAAAACCCAGCATGCAGTCAACAGCAAATACACTTAAATAAAATAGAATTTATTTCACAGAACGTGTAGCACTATGCCAAAGCCACAACAAAAACTCCTGATCATCCTGCTACAGAAGAAAGTTTATAAAAGTTGGCAAAAGAAACAAATATTTAAGATAAAATAACACCAATAGGTCAATATTGGCAAGACTTGCTGCCCATCAGCAGCACGACAAAGAGGTAAAATCCAAGGACCTCTATACCGTATACGGCTCAATGCACTCTTTACTTTTAGGACGACAAGGTTAGCAACGCTGTGCGGACACTGGACCACGCACCGTGGTAACTGGCCTGGAGGAAACAAGTGCTGCCATCACTGCTACCCAACCCACATTTCGTAAGGATTCACCTCTGGATTCCAGCCTCTTCCTGCCTTCATCCAGAAAGGACGCACCCCGCGATCACCACTGGGCACAAACACTTCTGCCTTCATCTCGAGCCAAATCCTGGAGATAAGGCTCACAAGGTTTCCGCAGTACTGCTCTGTGATGCTCTCCATGCCCATTGCTTTATCCTCTTGCATGTTCTATCAAAACACACCCACTTCGGCCATGCAAGACAGATTATTTCTAATTTCCAACAAAAAGGCCAAAAAGGCCTGCGCTTCAACTCTGACCTCACCAAAACTTTGCCAGGTTCTGCCGTAGTCGATACAGCAAATACACTTCCTCCAGCAGAGTCGACGCTAGTGAAAGCCAACACCAGAAGCTGGTTTTTCCATCCTTGCTATCATTTTTATCTCCACCACACACGCACATCTTAAAGAGGCTACACAAGCAGTAACAAGCCAAGACCAACCTTTTCTGCTTCACAGTAAAAAGAGCAGGCTCTATTTTCCTGTCACCCAAAAGACTACCAAAGCTAGGTCTTCCTCCCCAAAACAAGGCATTATACAGTTTTTTAAAAAGATTAAGCAGTTCTCTTTAAATGAAAAAAAAAAACCACAAGTTAGGATTTTTGGGGTCTGGGGTTTTTTTGAAGTTGAGGAAAAGAAAAAGAGTCTTCTCCATACCTTTAACAAAATTATTCACAGACAAGTGAGGAAAACAGGCACACCTCGACGGGCCAGCCCAGCTCATGAGGCTGCAGTGACACCCCAACACCCGGTGACGGTCACAGCTGCACCCGACACCAGCCCACAGCCCTGGTCGCGCCCGGGGCTGCCATCAGGGCCACACACCAAGGCCGGGCCACAGGTCGCACACCCCAAGCAGCCCACGGCCCCAGCGACACCCCCAGACCAGACTATGGCCGTTTCCCTCACACCAGGCCGCGGCTGTGCCCCACTCCGCGCAGCCCCTCTCTACCTGCTTGCTGTCCTGCTGGTGCCGCACCAGGCTCACCTCCCCGTAGCTGCCCTTCCCCACGGCTCGGAGGAAGCAGTAAGCAGCCAGGGGCATCCTCCCACCGCTCGGGCCCGGTTAGTAGGCGGCGGGCCCGGGGGCCGGCC